TTTTCTTCTTCTCTTGTGGTTATTTATACTTACATATATTTAAGATCTTACTTGTAGATCATGTTCGTCTTGTTCAAGGAAGTCAAAGAGTGACTTTAAAATTACCACTACATCATGTGAAGCAAACGGAAATATCACATTTTCTGGAGCACTTGTTTTATTATCATTTACTAAAGTTTATTCAATTTATATCCCAGCTGTGGTCCAGTCCTTCATCTCCTTCCAATCTCACCCTCCTTCTTTCTTCTCTCCCTATGCCCTTCTCCTAGTCTACTGATAGGGGAGGTTCTCCTTCCCTTCTGTCTAACCCTAGCCTATCAGGTCTCATCAGGACTAGCTACATTGTTTTCCTCTTTGGCCAGCCAAAGCTGCACTCCACCCCTCCTCCAGTGGCAGGTGATCAGAGAGCCTGCCACTGAATTCATGTCAGAGACAGTCCCTACTCTCCTTACTAGGGAACCCACTGGGAGACTGGAGTCTATGTGTTACATCTGAGCAGGGGTTTTAGGCCTTATCCTGCATGGTCCTTGGTTGGGTAACATTCTCTTCAGGGCTCCCAGGGTTCAGGTTTTTATTTTTATTTTTATTTTTGGTTCTGTTGGTTTCCCTTTGGAGCTCCTGTCTCCTCCAGGTCTTTCTATCTCCTCTTTCTTTCATAAAATTCCATGCATTCTGCCCAAAGTTTGGCTACAAGTCTCAGCCTCTGCTTCCATACCTGGATCAGTACAGGCTTTCAGAGGCTGTCTATGATAGGCTTCTGTCCTGTTCCCTGTCTTCTCCTTCTGATGTCTGTCACGTTCATTCTTCTGAATGAGGTTCAAGCATCTTCCCTAGTCTTCCTTGTTGTTTAGCTTCTATAGGAGGATAGATTTTAGTATGTTTATCCTATATTATATCTAGAACACTTTTATGTTTTCTTTTTTTTTTACTTTTTATTTTTTAATTAATTAATTTTTTATTTTTAAAATTTTATTTATTAATTAATTTATTCATTTTGTATCCCAGCTGTAGTCTCCTCCCTTGTCCCCTCCTAATCTCGCCCAGCCTCCCTCTACTCCTCTGATGACTCTCTCCAAGTCCACTGATGGGGGGAGCTGTCCTCCTCCCCATATCTCTGACCCTACCCTATCAGATCTCATCAGGACTGGTTGCATTGACTTGCTCTGTGACCTGGTAAGGTTGCTCCCCCATCAGGGGGAGGTGATCAAGAGCCAGCCATTGAGTTCATGTCAGAGACAGCCTCCTGTTCCCCTTACTAGGGGTTCCACTTAGATACTGAGCTGCCTTGGGCTACATCTGAGCAGGGGTTCTAGGTTATCATGAATGGTCCTTGATTGGAGTATCAGTCACAGAAAAGACCCCTGTGCCCAGATTTTTTGGTTTTGTTGCTTTCCTTGTGAGCTCCTGTCTCTTCCAGATTTTTCCTCTCTGACTTCTTTCATAAAATTCCCTGCACTCTGCCCAGTTTGGCTATGAGTCTCAGCATCTGCTTTTTTAAAATTATTTTTATTTTTTATATTAATTAAAGTTTATTCACTTTGTATCATGGCTGTAGGCCCCACCCTCCTCCCCTCCCAATCCTACCCTTACTTCCTCATTTCCTCCTATGTGCATTTCCAAGTTCTTGGATAGGGGAGGTCCTTCCCCCTTCCATCTGACCCTAGCTTATCCTGTCTCATCAGAACTTGCTGTATTGTCCTTCTGTGTGGCCTGGCAAGGCTGCTCCTCCATCAGGGGAAGGCGGTCAAAGAACTAGCCACTGAGTTCATGTCAGAGACAGTCCCTTGTTCCCCTTACTAGGGTTTCCACTTGGATACTGAACTGCCTTGGGCTACATCTGAGCAGGGGTTCTAGGTTATATCTATGAATGGTCCTTGGCTGGATTATCAGATATTTTGGTTCTGTTGTTATCCTTGTGGAACTCCTGTCCTCTCCAGGTCTTACTATCTCCCTCTTCTTTCCTAAGATTCCCTGCACTCTTCCAAAAGTTTATAAGTCTCAGTACCTGCTTTGATACCATGCTGGTTAGCGTCTTTCAGAGGTCCTCTGTGGTAGGCTCCTGTCCTGTTACCTGTTTTCTCCCTCTTCTGATGTCCATCCCATTTGCCTTTCTGTATGAGGACTGATCATCTGCTAAGCAAGAAGGAGGACCCTGAAACACTTTTTTATTAAAAATATAATCGTTAAGGTAAGATAGTCAATAGATAACTAGTTCAGGAAGTTCTAGTCACTTTAAAAGAGGTAACGGATGAATACATTTGAGATCAAGCAGAATTCACTTTAAATCCTTGCTACTCACTTGACAAGATATTTTTCCCAAAGTTGCTGTTTTTGAACCTCAGTTTTTCATTTATATAATGTAAAAAAAACAACACTAGCTAAAATATGAAATAGTCATTGCAGAATCTAGTCCATACAGAATTACAGCTGTATTTAATGTTTCTATGCATTCTGTAAACACTGTATTTTAGAAAATTTATGAGGTTTTCAAAAGCACATCATTAAAAATTTGCAAAAATCAACTTTACATCACTTATGTGTGAGACAAGTTTATTTAAGATTTTCTTTTACTCATTTATTTTGTTTAATTCTTAAGATATTATACTGTTTTAGTAGTTTATAATATGATATACATTTTTCTTTCCATTTTTTCTTTTAATTTTTATTAATTACACTTCATTCACTTTGTATCCCCCCATAAGTCTCTCCCTCCTCCCCTCCCAATCCCACCTTCCCTCCCCCTTCTCCACACATGCCCCTCCACAAGTCCACTGATAAGGGAGGTCTCCCTCTGCTGAGACTTATGGGCAACCTTTGGGCAGCATGCAAGGAATTTCATGAAAGAAGTAGGAAATAATAAGACCTGGAGAGGGTAGGAGCTCCACAAGGAGAGGAACAGAACCAAAAAATCTGGGCACAGGGGTTCTTTCTGAGACTGATACTCCAACCAAGGACAATTGATGGAGATAAACTAGAACCCCTGCACAGATGTTGCCCAAGGGAGTTCAGTGTCTAAGTGGGTTCCATAGTAATGGGAACAGGGACTGTCTCTGACATAAACTGATTGGCCTGCTCTATGATATACATTTTTAATTTAAAGTTCCATAATCATATTATGGAATGCAATATTTTTATTGTGTATTCCATAAAGAGCCATGATTCAGGAAAATTGTACTAAGTATAATAAATTACTTATTTAGAAGAATATATTTTATAATTAAATCCTAAATGCCAACTTATTGTATTACCTTTATTAGCTTTTTCTCGTTCATAAAAGTAATGCACATTCATTGTATAAAACTTTTTCAGTAGCTGAAAGGGCAAAATATAGTAAATAAATCTTTGACAAACCAAAATAATGGTATTGTGTAACAAAGTTACTATCTTATAGAAAATTTCTCTTATAAATTACTTTAAAAAGGAGAATATCTCAATATAAAAATAGGTATATGTATTGTGCATGATAAAATCTACCAAAATAATATAGTAACCAAAGAAATTCAATCAAAACACTCATGTTTTTTTCAATTCTCAGACTAGTAAAAACTACAGAAGATTCAAAGTGGAGGTTTGAGGAAAGCAAGATTTATATATATTTTAGGGCACTTAGAAAATATAGATGTTTAGCTATTTTTCTTTAGTATTAGAGAAAATGTATACAAAATAATGTATATAATAATGAATATTTATGAAAATGATATAAATAATAGTATGATATTAACCATGTTATTATGTATATGTACAATAGAAGTCCTTAAGCCTGGAGATTTTATATGCACATTTGATTAATAATATTTTGAGCCTTTTCTAATTAAAGAGCTGACTTTTAGTGTGTTTTAATATTTTTATATTATAAATAAGTCTATAATGAATATGATTAACTATAAACTTTGCCTACATCTGTGCCTACTTTTTAATAGTTATATCATGTATTAATTATGCATAATAATCAATTGTACCATGCATTTTCATGTATGTATATAATATTTTGATAATATTCACTTCCCATTACTATTTACAGTTTACCTCCCATCCCTGACAATCCCTTTCCTATTTCCACCTAGTCATATTTCTACTTTGCTGCCCCTTTTCAATTTCTTCCTGTGTGTCTCTGTCTCTTTTTGTATCTATTTTTGATGACTGTACTTTGTATTAGGGCTGTTTTCCGGGTACTCAGTAAGGAATTAGCTACAGGATCATGGATTCATTACTAGAAGCTATCCCACTAAAGTTTTTCTTACCTCAGAAGCTATTAATTGCCTATACATCCTCAGGGATTTTGGAACCTTGTATGCCCTCCCTATAGCTATTATTATCTGCTTATATTTGGGGAGTAAGGGAGGGGCTAAAGTCAGTTAATTAGGTAACCAACTACTCTGATTATGTGAGTCCAGTTCTTCAGGAAAGAATCTATGCTGGCAATGTAAACCTTGTCAAAACCCCATGGCTGGGGAAGTCATCAGCCCTAGTGGGGAAGTTTAGGGCTTATTATTTTACAAAATGGACACTAGGCCCTCATCAAATTGCTGTCTAGATAGCTATGTTTATAATCAGATTAGTGTTTCTTTCATCTTTGGTTAGAAAAACTCTTTTTTGCTGTGGACAGGGGTAAAAGCAGAGAGTTATTACTGATCAAACTATATTTACATTTTAAGATACATTCCTAAAAAATTAGTTAATAGGTCAAAAGATATAAGCAATTTTAGAATTCTTAAACATTTTTTTTTGCAATTCTTAGTACATACTAATTGGATGGATCTTATGACAGAGAGGAGAAGTAATATGTTCTTACTAAGTTTTCATGTATTTTTTGAGTCCTTAATCATGTTTGCTCTTATACTTCGGTTTCTTTTGTCTTTTATTGGATTTTTTTTGCCCATGTGTAGGCGTTGTTTCTATGACACAAATACAACTTATTACTTAGAAATGGGTTTTTCTAAGTTTGATGCTGACTTCTTCATATTGCCATTTTTTTGTTGTTTTGTTTTTTATCCTTTCAGACGTGGGTTGGCAATAAGCGGAGAAAAATGAGTAGTAAGAACTCTGAATCAGGAACAGCAGGAACTATTTCTGCTACCTCATTGGCAGTTCCAGACATTACTGTCAGAAATGTTGTTAATATTGCCAGGCCTTCAAGCCAGCAATCTTCTTGGACTTCTGCCAATAATGATGTCATTGTAACTGGTATATACAGTCCAGCAAACTCATCAAATAAGCAAGGGACAACAAAGCATACAAATACACAAATTACAGAAGTACATAAAATTCCTATTCAGAAACCAGCCACTAAAAATGACACTGAATTTCAATTGCACATTCCTGTTCAAAGACAAGTAGCACACTGCAAAAATGCTTCTGTGCTCCTAGGGGAAAAGACAATTATTTTGTCAAGACAGACAAGTGTACTAAATGCTGGAAACTCAGTGTACAATCACACAAAGAAAACCTATGGAAGTTCTCCGGTGCAAGCTTCTGAAATGACAGTACCTCAAAAGCCATCTGTGTGCCACCAACCTTGCAAAATTGAACCAGTTGGTATTCAAAGGTCATACAAACCTGAACATGCAAGTCTGGCATCACATAACTTATGTGCACAAAAGCCAACCATTAGAGACCCTTACTGTAGAACACAAAACTTGGAAATTCGTGAAGTGTTTTCATTGGCAGTCAGTGATTACCCTCAGAGAATTCTGGGAGGAAATAACACAAAGAAGCCTGGCTCAGCAGAAGGAACTTGTTTGTCCATTGCAATGGAGACTGGAGATGCAGAAGATGAATATGCCAGAGAAGAAGAGCTGGCATCAATGGGAGCACAGATAACAAGCTACTCAAGGCTTTATGAAAGTGGCAATTCCCTTCAAGCTGAGAACCAAAGTACAACTTTGCATAGACCAGGAAGAAACCTACCAAATTCACAAATGGTGAATATTAGAGATTTGTCAGACAATGTACTGTATCAAAATAGAGACTACCATTTGACACCACGGACCTCATTGCATACAGCATCTAGTATGTACAGTAATACTAATCCATCACGGAGTAATTGTTCTCCACATTTTGTATCATCAAACCAATTGAGGTTATCACAAAACCAAAACAATTACCAGGTAAGGTATAAATTTATTTTACGTAGATTTTTATAGGCATGTTTGTTTTAAAAATGACATTTGTGTACAGTTATATTACTGCCTAGGTCACAGGCATATTTTGAAGTAATTTGAGACTTTTATTTGAAAATGGTGGATTGCACTCAACACCATGAAGAATGTTGTGTTTTCTTTATCATGTTTAAAAATGCTGAGGTCTTTAAAAAATAAAAAGGAATATAGACATTTAATAACACCTTACTTCTGACATTAAAAAGTTTTGTTAAGAAATGGTACCTTTATAGGAATATAGCATTTCCCACATCTAAAATAAGATTAAATTGGTTATCCACCCAAGTCAGTCTGCCCTCTAGATGTTAATAGCTGAGAACTGAGAGCTTGAGGCAGTTTAGCCAACTGATTTGTCTAAAAGAAGATGTGTGATTAAAATGTTAAATTGACTATTAATCAGATAATATTTTGTATGGCAGTCATTGGGGAAAGATATATCCAGAGTAAGATTTTAAATAAACAGTAGACCTAGAAACCAAACAGGATTTTTTCTTTGCTGTTTTACGTATTCAAATACTCTCTTTAACTATGAAGTTCTTAAGATCTTCTCCCATAAAAATAAGGTTTTAAGAATTTGATTAAGAGGGTATGGATGTTGACTATGTATCCTTGCTACTGGCTAGACATCATTATCTGTTCAACCACAATACTGAGGGAAATAGCTCCCACCATATCCCCAATATAACAGACCATTTCTCTTAACTCTCTCTACCTTACATTTTATAACTCAAAATGGGAAGCAATGGCTGGTTGTAGTGGTATATATCAGTAATCACCACAAGCGCCTGGTCATTCTAATATACATCACAAGTTCTAGGCCAGCCTGGGCCACATAGTGAGTTTCTGTCTCAAAACAAAGACAGAGACAGTAAGGATCAGGGAAGAAAAATTAAAAAACATTGATGTAGTACTGGAAGTACTCTTTCTGAGATCTGCCCATAACAATGAGGAATTTGGACATCATCATTACTAGTTTTTTTTCTGAAAATTAATTCACTTTTCTGTTTGTTTGTTGCCGTAAAGCATACTTAATGTAATATTGAATTGTACCATTAATATCCTCTTCACTTTACACATCTTCATTTTTATTCTTTCTGTTTGTTTATTAGTTGATTAGTTAATTTGTTTTTATTCATCACCAGGACTTGATACATAGTTCTGACAGGCCAGAATTGTCTATGTAGACAAGACTGGCCTCTTGTTACTCTCTTGTCTCTGCCTCCTGTGTGTGTCATAATTACAGGCATATGCAGACATTCCTACACAGTGTTATTAATTATAATAATAATGTTTACTATTGGTTGAAGGGCTACATAATTAGGCCTTATCTTTCATATAAACTAATTTATATTAAATGTAAATTCACCGGAACTCTTTTATTTATTACTTGTATAGAGTATATTTTTCCATACCTTTAATTGCAGACTATAGATGCCCTTGAATCTAAAATAAATATATTGTAGGCAGAGGACAGTTGAATCCTGTTTTTTTTTTCTCCATTTAGCCACTCTATACTTTGGCTAAAGAATAAAATCCATTTACACTTAAAGTAATTATTGACAAAAAAAGGACTATTCTGATATGTTAGTTTAAAGTTTTTTTTCTTTTATTCCTGTCTTGATGCCTTCATTTGTAATTTTTAATTTTTGGTTAATAATACGCTTTTGTTCTTTTTCTGTTTTGTATATCTACCAGAAGTTTTTGTTTTTTATTTGTTTCTTTTTGCTTTTTCAGTATCATGAAGTCTGAATAAAATCCGAAAACTATTTCTTAAATTTTTTTTTATTTTTTTAATTACTTACAGTTTATTAGCTTTGTATCCCATCTGTATCCTGCTCCCTCATTCCCTCCCAATTCCATTCTCCCTCCTTCCTCTCCTCCCTGCCCCTTTTGAAGTCCACTGATAGAGGAGGACCTCCTCCCCATTCATCTGACCCTGGTGTATCAGGTATCTTCAGGACTGGCTGCAAAGTCCTCTTCTGTGACCTAGCAGGGCTGCTCCTCCCTGGGGGTGGGGGGAGGTCAAAGAGCCAGTCATTGAGTTCATGTCAGAAATAGGTTTTGTTCCCCTTATTAGGGTACCCACTTGGATACTGAGCTACCATGGGCTACATCCAAGCAGAGGTTTTAGGTTATATACATACATGGTCCTTGGTTGGAGAAACAATCTCAGAAAAAAAACCTGTGCCCATATATATTCGGTCCTTGTGGAGCTCCTATCCTTTAAACGTCATACTAACTCCTCCTTCTTTCATATGATTCCCTGCACTCTGCTTTGATATACTGCTAAGTAGAGTTTTTCAGAGGCCCTCTATGGTAGGCTCCTGTCCTGTTACTTGTTTTCTCCTACATCCAATGTCCATCTCATTTGTCTTTCTAAGTGAGGATTGATCATCATACCCAGGGTCCTCTTTCTTGTTTATATTCTTTAGGTATATATATTTCAGTATGTTTATCGTATCTTATAGGTCTATATAAGTGAGTGTATACCATGTGTGTCTTTCTCCTTCTGGAATAGCTCACTCAGGATGATCTTTTCTAGGTCCCACCATTTGCCTGCAAATTCCATGATTTCCTTGTTTTTAATTGTTGTGTAGTATTCCATTGTGTAAATGTACCACAATTTCTGTATCCATTCCTTCGTTGATGGACATCTGGGTTGTTTCCAAGTTCTGGGTATTACAAATAAAGCTGCTACAAACATGTTAAACCTTTTTGTTAATGAACCCAATGTATGCAGCTTCTCTTGGAATAGTTTCTTAAATTTCTTTTCTTTCATTGAATAGACACTAGTGTCCTGTTTCTTTGCATATACTATGTCTTTTACATTGATAATTTGAGGAAGAATAAACTTTCTAGTTTTTGTATAAAGTTTTGGTCTTTTAGTCCCTTCATAGGTTTTCTCTAAGTCCTTATGCATATTTTCCAAGTCCTCTGTTTTAAAGGCTATGTTAAAGTTGTTTAATTTGTCTGAGTCTCACTCTTCTTGAGGAGCCATTTTTGTAATCCTCAATCACTAATATCTCTCTCTACCTTTTTGTGGACCAGCATTCTCCTTAAAACTTTCACAGCCATTGCCAACTCTTTCCTACCATTTCCTCTAGTCTGAGAGCTTGCTTGTACCACTTTAGGATATCTGAACTTCCAATTCATAGAGAAAGAGACCAATCCTTCAGACAGCCCCAGACATATTACAATAATGAAAAAAAATCAATTAAATTATGTCTGCTTCTTGATCACAGAAAAGACTAGGAATTGAGCCACAACTGTCTTCAAGTCATGTCATGTCACACTGAAAACCAGTTCTAATAATGGTCAGTAAAAATGTCATACATTTTACAACCACTTTCACCATGGCATTTTCTTAGTCATTTGCTTAGTTGCTGTAGGTTTTGACAGGTTTTCAGAGCTTCTACGATGCTGTTTTAGTCTTTCACTACATTATTATTATTATTATTATTATTATTATTATTATTATTATTATTATCATCTGTTTGTTTTGACATAGGGACCCAACATATAGTCTTTGCTTCTTGGAACTACCTATATAGGCTTGATTCAGTCTTGTAATCCTCCTGCCTCAGATTCCCAAGTTCTGCTTATGTGCTCTCACCTCTATGCAACTAGTTGTTTATTAACTATTGTCCTGATAGAACAAGTGTCTAGAGCTTCCTAGTTCTTATTGTTACTAACCAGTCTGGGGTTTTGTTTTGTTTTGTTTTTCTTTTCTTTTCTTTTTTTTCCAAACTACAGAGTTACCACATTCAAGCACCTAAGGTTAGTGCAGAAAACAGCTTTGGTGTTTAACACAAAACAAAACAAAGCTTCTGTATTTGGCTTCAACAAAGAGCTGTGTGCAAAGGGAAGATTGTGGTAAAAACACTAGTACTGCTTACTAAAGATGGTAATTTACTAACAAAAATGGATCTTCTATTGCTGCCTGGAGTGCTGATGTGTTACTAGCCAGGTTATAAAATAACTTCATTTCAGTTATAGTAAGGTATTCAACACTTAATGCTAACATTTGGCAGGTATCTTTTCTGAAATTGGTAATGAGCATTTATATTTTCTCAAATCTATTTTTATGTGAGCAAAATTAGTTAATGAAATATTATGGAGGGTTTAATTTTAAATTTGTAATTATATACTGCCCAGTGCCTTTGAATTAGAAAATAATCACTCCAGATAAAAATTTATATCATTTTACTTATAACTTTGCATTATTTTGCAACCAGTATGTCACAAATTGTAAATAAAATTTGGGTTTCTATGTTATATATGAGGACCTTTTCTAATTTCATTTACACATCTTAGAATTCCAATTTTCTTGATCTTTATTTTTGTAGCTCATAAAATTTAACTACTAGAATTATGTACAAATAAACTCTAAAAAGCATCTTGATTGTGAATTGCAAGAATTTTGGTCTGCTCATAAACTTACCTAAACATCATTCTTAAAAAAACAAACAAACAAAAAAAAAACTTAATGAAAAGTTAAACTTAATGAAAAAAAATTTGTATGCCTAATAGTTGCTTATCTAGAAATGATAATATTTAAAAAAGGAACTTGTAGGGCGAGATTGGGAAGGGATGGGAGAGGGAGCTACAGCTGGGGTACAAAGTGAATAAACAGTAATTAATTAAAAATAAATTTTAAAAAAGTAATTTGTAAAGCTAATCTACATCTTAGAGCCTTGATAAAGTCTTAGTAGGGAGAAGAGTGGAAAACAGTTATGTATCAAGACATCATTTATCCTTTGCTTCCAGGCAACTGGAAGCAAAAAATGCTCAAAAAATCAAATACCTAATGTTTTTCTCATTTGTATTTCTTTACCTCTCACTGTTAAATATGTGCATAGAGAAGGGCATAAATATTGGTTAAACTAAGAAGTTAGGAAGGACCTCATGAGACTGGGGAAAACTTGGGGCGTTAAGGAAGGGAGTGAGGA